GCGAAAATAACATTCAAACACATCAGAATGTTCCTCAAACGCTACTCTATGTATTCTAAAATCGCAAAATCTCGCATATTTTCCAAGGAGGTTTTATGGATTTTCCAAAATCCCAAGGGGTTTTCCCGTATTTCGCATTTTTCTCTGTCACCAAAGCACTTTTTGGTACAAATAATGCCATATTCAGAATCTGAGAGCTAATATCTAACACATAGTAAGACCATATTATGCAAAAATAATTATTTTCTAAATCAAAAAATCAGATGTCCGCCGGCTCTATGGGAAAATACCCACTGTGCGGGGTTACGCCCAAAATACTCGGAGGAACCAAAAAAACCGTTTTCGCTGTATTTTTATGAATTTGAATTTTTTTTAGTTCGACTTGTAGTTGGAGTATTCTAACACACATTTTTCCTTTTTCTTTCTGTAGTTCTGTGGTGCCAATGAACATTTAGGGCTTTTCTTGTAAACTCTATAACTTTGCAAAGAAAGGTCATGTAGAGCTAAAAGTACTAAAGGACATGTCAAATTTTTGCAGATATTTCGCTTTTCCACTATGTAGGAACTGAAAACGAAACTAATGATTCATCCAAACTCGAAGTTATGGCGCGATCAGTGTGTTTACCTTATGTCATTGCTTGTTACCACATGGGGATGGGTTTGGCCGTAGATAGTTTCCATGAAGATCTACCATCATTGGTGAGTAAATGCTACCCTTTTTCAAAATATAAGAGGGACTGTTATTTTTTGAATAACCTTTTAATGCAAAATGATGGAGATTCTGTGGGTCTGAGCGATCGATAGCCAAGACTTGATGAAATAATTCTATGAAAAAAGAAAACGGTAACATCCGCAGATGTTATATCCAATTAATCTTTGGAAGAGTAGATTGTCACGCAAAAAGCTTTCATTACAATGTTTTTGCCAGCGAGTGCGATCCATTGATCTTAGCACTATATATTGCTGGAAAGCCGAAACCTCTAACATTTAGTATTCTGGCAAAGCAATAGAAACATGCATCAATTGTGCTGAGTAATGTGGCAATGTTTATTCTATCAATGGAAAAATTTTCATTTTGATGAAGATGTTCAGGAAGCACCAATTCAACCTTCTTTTTAGAAATATTTCACTTTCAAATTAAAATATTTATAATAGGTATGTCAAAGTAAAATGAACGTATTCGGTAAATAACTTTATCTTGTACCGTCTAGACGTAAGTATTCTTCCAAAAAATTCGTAAGTAAATTTTCTACAAGAACGATTAATAGTTTCGCTTTAAACTGTAAAAGTCAAATATGAGATAAAAATTTCTTCAGACTCCAAAATGGAACACCAGATAGAAAACTAAAACCAAGATAGTTTTATTCACTGGTCTGTTCAGGCAATAAAACTAGTCAGACATCTTATAATCCTTGCAAAGTTGCCCTTTAACTATACAGCCATTAATCCAGTTTCCACCGTATCTGTCACCATTAGAATAATACTCAATGCCATGTCCATTTCGTTCACCATTTAGAAATTCACCATCGTACTTAATTTGTTCTTTTCCCAGTGCATAATAATAAACACCATGGCCTCCATAATTTGCTGATTTTTTTGTAGAAGTTATTATACTTCAGCTAATCACAATCGGTAAAGCTGTAAAAAAACGTTAACCTTAGACCTTAGGTTAACGGTAAAAGCCGCGCGAAATTTAAAATCACATTAACTCTTCACTTCGGTGTGTTTTATTGTTTATACCTACAAAGCCCTTTTTTTGCTCTGGTGACTAATGACAAGTAAACATTGTTTTCAAGAAAAGTAAGAACAGGAACGAAACAAATATGATTATACAAGTAGTGAACAATTTTTGTTCTGTTTCTGATCAAAATAGAGTTAAAGTTCTCTTCCTTTTCTCTTGTCCTTCAGAAACATTTAGCTACAATAAAAATAGCTATAAAAAAAAAGTGTGAGTCTTCGTGTGAGTGTTCGAACCATTTCTCTTTCAATAATAGAAACAAACACAACATAAAAAATTCGATTTTATATATGTCGTTGACCGGCTATAAAGCACGCAGGCTGGTTTTTTAGAAGGAACTTTTTCTTACAACTTCGCGGTAGATTTTTTCGTTTGTGGCTCATCAGGTAACTCTCCTGTGCTCTATCAAATCGGCTGTTATTTTATCTCGCACGTAGTATAAGCTTCTTGCATGGCATTGCTTGGTAAGATGCAGACAACATGAAATCTCGGTAAAACATAGACCTCAATCGTCCGGTAACTCTCGTTGCACATCTGAGTTTTGAACAAGAAGTTGGTATCGTACGGCAGGAGTCCTAATGTCGATTGCGAAGAAGTCGGTAGCTCAAACGTCTTCCTTGTGAATGATTTCCATATCAAGGTTTATAACGTTTTTTCATTGTATTTTTAGGGCTCTTTTACAATCGGACCTTAAACTGACAGTATCGTTATTTATTTCATTCAGCACAATAAAAAAGATATACTTTTTCAAGCATTTTAACTTATGATTGTGCTCAAATAAGGCTAGAACTTATAAGAGATATTCGCCGTTTTTCTACTTCTACTTAGGTAGTTTTATTTTTCGATTGCTACATGTTTTCTTCCGAAACTTCTCCAGTGTAGGTGTTTGCATATAAAATCTGAAAAGAGGAGTGTAATTTTATACACGACCGAAGTCTTGTGTTATCACACTTTGGAAGAGTCCAACAAACATTTTGTTGTATAAACTTCAATTCTAATTCTTACAAACATGGCGTTGAACTTTCTCAGAAGTTCAATGTTGAAATTCGAAATAGGATACAATTGAATTAGTTTGACTTTAAAACCTTAAGCTGGTTTACGCTGATAAACTTTTTTTTATGTACATCCATCACATACAAATAGGCATATTATATGCATGATGGTCACGACAAAACAAATAAAAACAATAGATTACAGTGGCAGTAAATTTACCGGTGAAGTTAACGAAAACGGTAAACCAGATGGACAAGGAACTGAATGGTGGCCTGATGGTGATCATTATGAAGGACAGTTTAAATCAGCAAAGTATGGAGGCCATGGTGTTTATTATTATGCACTAGGAAAAGAACAAATTAAGTGCGATGGTGAATTTCGAAATGGTGAACGAAATGAACATGGCATTGAGTATTATTCTAATGGTGACAGATACGATGGAAACTGGGTTAATGGCTGTAGAGAAAGTCGAGGTACTCATACATTTAGGAGTGGAGAGTGGTACGAAGGTGAATTTCATCGTGATAAGTACAATGGCCATGGCACCTACTATTATCCAAGTGGTAACAGGTATGATTGTAAATATTGTATGAGTCAATGAGATGAAACAGAATGAAACAAAAAATACAGAACAGAAGAAATATGTTAGAACCCTGTCCTGGCAGGTTAGGACAGGTTTAGGTTATGACCTCGCAGTTCAGGATTGGCTGTAACTTAGGAAAATTTTTACAGGGTAGGTTACTGGTTACATTATCCGTACCCTGTTTTCAACCTGTAAAAAAATATTAGGCGTCATCTGTACAGGGGAAGAAATAAGAACTCGAAAAATAGTTTTGTTAGCCAAAAACATATTTAATGCGTCAGGAAGACTACTGGAAACATGAGGACAGTCGTTGAATCCAGATGTTGTTGACGATATTATTGATCAGAAATTTCAGAGATGTGTGATGTATCGTTGTTGTGTTTTGCTGCATAAATAAAGGAAACGAAAAGAATTTACTTTATTAGGAAAAATTTTCGAACTTGAGCAATCATTTTTTGCAGTAATTTTTCGCAGAACAGGACAAAACAGATTAGGCAAAAAATATTGCAGGTTAGGACAAGTTACAGGTTACGAGGTATAAGGTTATGGGTTGTTAAAGTTTTTACAGGGCAGGTTATAGGTTATGAAAACGTTGTAAAATGCAGGGCGCTAAAATATGTCTTAACTGGGAATGGAACCTAGACAGACTGGATACAAGCCATATGCTCTACCAATGGGCTATTCAGACACGGTCTTCGACGCATTTTTTTCTATCTAGGACTTTTATTTTCTTCGTACAAGCACTAATCAGTAGTGACAACTAATTGTGAGGGTGAATGTGTCTGGATAGGTCGTGTGACTTGTATCCATACTGTCTGAATTCTATTCCGAGTTGAGACATATTTTTTCTGTTCTGTATTTTCTCTTCCGTTCTGCTGCTGTTAAACTAGGTATGATGGTCAATGGAAAGATTCTAAACGGCATGGTTATGGTACCTTGACATATGTAAATGGCACTGTTAGACAAGGACTATGGGCAAATGATAAACAATGTAACAAACAGTCTTCTACGTGTCTTCTTTCTTAAAACTGATGGAGCTTGTTTACGTTTGCGGCTGTTATAAGTATAAACAGCATTTATTGATATGAGCACACTTCTCAATCGATACTTCTCATAATAAAATGTGTGATATGTGACATGCATTACTAAAAATATTAATAATAATTGATATACACAAGTTTTTAATAAAAAATAGACACCACATTTCTTTCATCATCTTGAAGACATAGTCCACCATTTCTACAACTATTACCCAGTTTACAATAAATCTCATCATACTAATAGGCTAACCATTCACTTCGATTGCGATTTTAATACTTGTATAATAATATACTTGTATTCGATTTTCAAATATTCAAACATAAAGACTTATTTTCGAATTTAATTGTCGCTTTAGCTATACAGCTTGTCCACGTAACGCGTGACTTCGTTGATCAAGTATTTTTTTCGAAACTAAGCAAAAGGAATGATTCCATCTTGAAGAGCGCACTCGAAAACACCACAAAAACGTGCTTTTTTCTCACTAAAACGCAATGTAGAGCTCTAGAACCGAAGTAAAATAAATGGATAGTGTAGAAACGGAAACCGTGACTTTTAAAAGTGGTTTTCCTTTGAAATTTTTCTTAAGAATATGCAGTAAAAATTCTATCGGACATGGTTACCAGACTATCAACTACGGCCTTTCTCTTAACGCAAGGATAGTGTCGTTAATAATCTGAGTTTTGATCGAATATACTTCAAGTTGAACAGCATATTCGTAGTTCAAGAATGGACGAGAATAGAACAATGATTCATTCTATTTCGACAAATCGCTTGAATCAACAAGATGTGCTGAAGGTTTAGTTCCCGTTTTTTTAGTTCCCTATATCAATTAATTACTTAAGAACAAGAAAAAATATAACCTTGTTTATCGATGTATATGATCAATATATGATCGTCTTACAAGCCGTTATATTAGAAGAAAGTTTAGAGATTTGATTAACGAAGTGAATGTATTCTTAAACGAGTCTTTTGTTATCTCACAAAGAAGACAGTCTGTTAGCTAAAACTTTAGTCAGACCATAATTGAGATGTTTTTGTAGCCGAAAGAAGACCGTAAAGGACGTCCATATTTATATCTTTATCCTTTCTTAAATTTCGCAGAATTAATAAATTTAGTTTCAAAGACATCGAGGCAGTTTCTCATGCACTACGCCTACTCAAATCAATGATGTTTTGCTTGTATTTCAGAAATGATGAGAAAGACATGCTCACTTGGTTTGTCGCCTAATAAATCAAAATTCTATAATTATTTATTATTCTAATGAAAAGAGATTCACGAAAATTGCTACATTTCATTCATACACGGAAATTCAGAAAAAAGAAATTTCACTTTGATTAAATTTAGATAAAAAAATTATTT